CTCTTTCCTGGAAAAGCCAAACTGGGCAGAGAACACAAGATTCTCAGAGCAGGCGCTTCCAAGAGTCGACGCGTACCTGGCCACAGGAGGTTTTGACCCTCAGAAGCTCAGACCCCCCCCTCCAAATCCTGTGGGTCCCGAAGGTGCTACTGGTCCCGAGCCCCCGTCAGGCAGTGCTTCAGTGCCTTCCACACACACACACGGATGTTCCCAGGAAGCTCTGCAGAGTCAGTCAGTTCTCTGGGAGGGGCTCCAGCGCCTCTATCAGCTGCGTGACAGGCAGAAATCCAGGAAATTCACCAGGGAAAGTTCCCACGAGAAGAAGAAGAGGAGGAGATTGGCCCTTGACTACCCAAAAGTGTCTCAGAGGGGCTTACAAACTCCTTTCCCTCCCCCTCCCCACAACAGACAGCCCCTGAGGTAGGTGGGGCTGAGAGAGCTCTGACAGAAACGGCTCTTTTTCAAGGACAGCTGTTATCAGAGCTATGGCTTGCCCAGGGTCATCCAGACAGGTGCACGTGGAGGAGGAGTGGGGAATCAAACCCGGCGCTGCCAGATTTAGAGTCCCCGCACTTAACCACTACCACCAAACTGGCACTTTGTCCATGTTGTAGCTATGCCAGGAACCAGAGCCCTGCCAGAAGAGGACAAAGAGAAGCCGAGCCAAGCAGCAAGGACAAGCTTTGCGTTGCTTCAGGAACAGAGCGGCCCCCGAGAGGGGAGGGGGGCGGCACCAGCTGGGACCCCCCAGCCCCCCCCCACACACACTGCAGAGCCTCCCTGACCCGCAGCATCACCAGCCACCGGACAGCGCCACCTGGTGGCCCAAGAGCCCCGTGCGCATTTCCTCCAGAAGGACCTTCTCTCCATGGAGTCGCGCAGTCACGGGTTTAAATTATGAGACTTAAAATAATGGGTTTAAATTGTGGGCAGGAAGTTAGCGGTTGGATACCAGGGAATGTTTCCTTTACACCAAGAGCACTCAAGCAGTGGAACTGACTGCCTAGGGAGGTTGTGGTGGTGAGCCCCCCTTCACTGGCCGTCTTCAAGCGGCATTCCAAAAACAAAACCTCCGTGACAAAAGTAACGAAGAGTCAATAAAGATAAGTTGCAAAAAGGTTTACTGTAGTAATTTCCGCAGAAAATCTTCTTCTATTATCGCTCACACGCTAACGAATACTGCGGAATGAACAATTTGTTTCACAATATTTGCTTTATCTGAGCGTGCAGCAATCCCAATTCTTATCAATCACGACTTATCAACTTTTTTCTTCTTTAACGCCACCCCCCCAAGGGGATTTTTTAATTGCATTTTCTAAAAACTACAGAAAAAAGGGAGGATACCAATACATACTACTTATCAACTCTTGAAGGAAACATTCCATGTTGACTCTCTAATAACAGAACCCGGGGTCTTCACAACGGATGCTGTTCTTGGAATTCCACTTCCTCCTGTGATCTCTCATTCTTAGTCTTCAAGAGGCGGCTGGGCTGTACAAACACTTGCCAGGCATGCACTGGGCCAGGGGTAAGGAACCGGCCCGTCCGGGGCTCTTACCTGATGGCCCACGAGCAACTGGTGTGCCAGAGGGAACAGGAGGCTGCTGGGGAGGGGCAAGTGGGCACAGCCAGTCAGAACCCCTTCACTTCAGCGGCAGCCTCACCGGCAATTTGGGAGCCGCCGAAGCCGGCTCAGGGTTCCAAGGCGAGGTCACATGCCCCTCCAGGCGGCCTGCAGCTCTGGGGATGCTGCGGGGATTGGCGTTTGCACGTGGGGGAGGGGGGGGCACAGATGATCCCCTGTGGGGGCCTGCGGGCAGCCAGCGCAGCCGCCATGTTCACACAGCCCTAAGCGGCAGCTGGGCTTTGGGCCGCGGGGGTGGGCTGGCATTCTTTGGCAGTTTCTTCCACGAACCAGGGGCCTAGTCCTTGCCACCGAGCCTGCGACTCGGCAGGAGGCCTCCCTCCCCCGGTGGCCTTCAGCTATAGGCAGCTGTGCCTCATGGGGGGGGCAATCTTTAGTCACTGCCATGTGCACAGCTTGGGCGTGTGGTGCCCACACCCCCACCAGATGAGTCAGTGGCCTTTGGTCTGGGGTGGCATGGCGTGCTGACGATCTCTGGGCTGAACCCCCAACATTGCCCCGGCACGGATCGCCTGGCGGCCTTGTCCAGAGGCAGCCACTGCCGTGTGGGCAATACCTCCAGCTTATCGGGCCTTCCTTCCCCTGGGCCCTGCCTGTGGCCTTGCGACTGAGCCACCGCCCCCCCTCAACCTCTGCAGGCGGCGGGGGGGGGGTTAAGCTCATCTTGCCTTCCCAGTCCCCCTGCATGGTTGCTTGGGGGCAGGTGGGGAGCTCACAAAAGCCAGCCACGTCATGATTTCACCGTGGCCCTGGGCTCACAGCACTGGCAGCAGGCTGGGAAAGGGGCCTGCCCCCCCCCCCACTAGGCAGCATGAGGCGTCTGCCCAGTGCTGCACTGCTGCCTTTCCAGTCCACCCATGCACACACCACACACACACACACACCTGCCCATGGGCCCTTGCAGCGAGGAGACACCAGCACGGCGCTTCCCAGCGGCTGACTTTCATAAAGCTTCAGGTGGGCGGCTGTGTTGGTTTGAGTCCAGTCGGGCGCCTTTAAGACCAACCAAGTTTTATTCAAGGTGTGAGCTTTTGTGTGCAATGCGCACACTTCTTCAGATACAATGAAATGGAAAATACCAGTTCATACATATAGGTAGAGGATGAGTGGTAAATTGGCATACAACATAATGAAGATGTTTAACAGTGTAATGGTTTCATGTTTTGGTGTGTGTGTTTCTTTAAATGTTTAGTGTGCCTGCAGTAATGTAAGGAGAGTGATAGAGGGAGATGAGTGTGATGTGACTGGCTGATGACTGAGAGTGTGGGAGGAGAGATGTCTCTGAGGGGATTCTGTGTTTGCAGAGAGAGGAGCGTGGAGAGTTTTTGTGTGAGAGTCTGTGTGACAGAGGAGGCACTTGGAGTTCAGCCTGTGTGGCTATATGAGAAAGTTTAGCCTGTGTGGCTGAGAGAGAGAGAGAGAGTTTTAGCCTGTGTGGCTGTGAGCAAGAAAGTTTAGCTTGTGTGCCTATATGATGAAAGAGAGTTTAGACTGAGTGTCTAATCCTGTCAGAGTAGAGTTTTGGTGTTTGAGAGACTGTGTGTGACGCCAAGCTTTGTCAGTTATATTTTCCTTCTTCAACAACAGTTCAAAAATACCCAGGAACCTATTTTGTTCTCTTATTAATAAATCATTATTTGTTTTAAACTTATCCCAGGATTCAGAACAGTCCTTCCTCAGGGCCACGTAGTCCTCTGAAGCGCCCAGACACTGGGTCATTCTACCAAAATAGAGAGATTTGGAATTTTCAATTCCTGGTGGCAGCAGAAATCTACTAAGTTCACGGACACAGAGTGGTTTTTAAAGGAGAAACAGTCTCCCCAATAAGCAGGACCCTCACAAACAGGTTCAGGAAGAACAAGCTTAGTGTATATGTCATACCTTGAGTAAAACTTGGTTGGTCTTAAAGGTGCCACTGGACTCAAAGTTTGTTCTTTATAAAGTTTGTATCTCTGGTACCTGGTGTTACGTTTCATGGCGCACGTGGCCCGCCCCGACAAAGGGACATTTATGTCAGATCCGGCCCTCGTAACAAGTGAGTTCGACACCTCCGCTCTCAGCTGATCCTGCATTGAGCGGGAGGGTTGGACTAGGCGTTCTCTATGGCCCCGCCCAACCCTACGATTCTCCGACCTGGTAACAGGAACACTCGTGCCTGCACGTCTCTCAACAGAAGAAGACGCTCCCCAAGGCATGGGGAGGAAAGGGTACCTACTACAAGCACCGAACAACCCCAGGGATTTTTTTTTGAGGGCCCCAGCCAGAGGGGTGTGGCTCTGCCCTGAGAAGGAGGGGCCCCGCCGGGGGAGTAACGCTCAGCGCTTGAGCCCCGGCCTTCCTCAGCAGCTGGGCAGAGAGCAGGGGAGGGCCAGAGTCTCTAGCCTTCTCTCAGCAGCTGCCTAAAGGCCCCGGTGCCGTGCCTCATCTGGAAGCCGCCTCCAGGTGCCGGGTGCCTCAACGGGGAACTCCACAGGAGCTGCACGTAACCCCCCCCCCCGCCCCCGGCCGCTCCCTTCTCTTTGAAGGATGTAATAGGAAAGCAAGGTACAAATCTTTTGAATTTAAAGAGCCCCTTATTTCTGCTGTTCTCGGCCTTCAAACTCTCCTATTTTGGAGTGCCCCCCCCCCCCCCCCCGCGCGCACACACACAGAGGAGGCTCCTCACGGCAGGAGGCCCGCTGACGCCCGGCAGGAGACGGAGACCCACCTGCTGATGATCGAGCACGGTCAGGGCCTTGACCCCCGCCAGGATGAGGTTCTTGGCCACTTCCGCTCCCAGGCCTTTCATGCCCACCAGCAGCACCCGAGAGGCCCGCAGGCTGCAGAAGGGAAGGGGAGAGGCAGGCCCACGTCAGCTCGAGCCAGAGAAGGCCCGGGGGTGGTGTCCCCCCTCCTTGACCCCCGCCAGGATGAGGTTCTTGGCCACTTCCGCTCCCAGGCCTTTCATGCCCACCAGCAGCACCCGAGAGGCCCGCAGGCTGCAGAAGGGAAGGGGAGAGGCAGGCCCACGTCAGCTCGAGCCAGAGAAGGCCCGGGGGTGGTGTCCCC